CTGAAAGCTTCAGTCATCAATGACGTATGTCTTGTAAATGTTAAATTAAAAGAAGAAGTTAATATTACGATTCCTATGACATCTATACCACCAGAACCATTATCAGCGTTAATACTTCCGGAAAATATTCTCGATTGGAATCAAACACATGTACATGATTGGTTGATTAGTCATGGTTTGCTGCACATGTCTCGTTTATTTGTTAATTTTAATGGTCGAAGTTTGATGTATATGAGTGAAATCATAGAAAATGTTGAACTTAAACAAGTTATATCTTTATTACAAGATGATTCTCTTCAACGAACAAGTCAAAGTTTATCATTAGTTGAATTAGCTCATTTACGATCTCTATTGAATCAACAAAAACAATCTTTGACATCTACTATCGTTGCCAAATCTACAAAAGTTTAAAAATAATAGTTATTTTTCTCTCTTTCTGAATAATTATTTTATTTAAAGTTTAATAATCATTCATATAATAAAAATAGAATTATGATTAAATAAGTAAAATTAGAATTCTTGTTAATGTTTCGGTCAGAATTGACTTTCTTCAGAACTTTGATGTTTCTTGCAATTGACGTTTATTTGACTATACATAAATTCTTTTATTTTGATGATAGTGGTACGGATAAGGAAACATAGGTGTTCTACCAGTATTACTATCATCAAAAAATAAAGAAAGAAAAAGATAAATAAAAGAATTTATGTATAGTCAAATAAATGTCAATTGTGAGAAACATAAAAGTTCTGAAGAAGGTCAGTTTTGACCGAAACATCAACAAGAAGTCTAATTTTACTTATTTATTCATAAATATTTATAATTATTATTTTTAAACTTAATATGTCCTTCCTTAACAGATCTCAAACCTACAAAAGTGAAAATTGAGAAATTACAAAGAAAGACTTTTTTTTTTATTGTCAAATAATTTAATAGTTTTTTGTACATTTATCAGAGATCTACACGATATTCCAAAAGTCCGACCAAAAAAGAAACGTGAATATCTATTTAACCATTCAAACGATGTACGTAAGGTTTTCATAGTTTTCTTCTATATTTATTGGAGTTTTATTTCACATAAATTTGTCTCTAATAGGTTTACAAAATGATCACTTATAAATGTAATACACAAACCTCTCATTTTTGAAAATATCTGTAAAAACATCATATAAAGCTGTTAGCGCAATCCCTTGCGGGATTAAAAATGTGAAACACGATGTACCTATTGTTACTAATTAAATGGAAATCCTTTTGTTCCATTTCCTAATGACACATTTGTAGCTGACCATATATCTGATGCTTCACAGCTATAGTTTCTCTGTCACGGTCTATGATGGGTACCCAGGGTTCTCTGTGATGGTCTGTGATGGGTACCTAGCTTCCTCTGTCACGGTCTGTGATGGGTACTCAGGGTTCTCTGTCACGGTCTGTGATGGG